CGCGGGCCCGCCCCCGGGTCCTGGCGGCCGCCCCCCGAGTGGGTGGGTGAGGGTGCGGGCCCGGGCCCCCCCGCCCCGCCGTCCCGGGCCTCCGGGAGCCGCAGCAAGAGCAGGACCAGGACCAGGAGGCCCAGGGCGCGGGTGCCGCCCAGGCCGCCCCGTAACGGCATGGGCCCCGCCCGCGGCCCCTCTGCTGGCGCCCCTCGCCCTGGTGTTGGCGGAACCAGGGCCGCGCCGCGTGCGTGTGTGTGCGTGTGCGTGTGCGTGCATACGTGCGTGCGTGCGTGGGGTCATCTGGGGTCAGAGCCTGTTCCGCAGAGGCATTCACGGCGCCGGCTGCGCTGGGCTGAGGCCTTTCTCGCGCTTCCCTCCCCGGCTTGTTCGCAATAAAGACTTCAGGGCCGTCATGGCCGCGACGCACAGTCGCTAAGAGCTGGACGCGGCCGAGTGCCCACCGGTGACGAGTGGACTGAAACCGGCGGTGCCGCTGCGGATGGAACACGACGCGGCTGCGAAAAAGAACGCGCTCTTCCCACTCGCAGCGCCGACGGACGGACGGACGGACGGACGGGCCGGGAGAAGCCAGTCGGAGGAAGGTCAGTTCGCGTGACCTCACTCACCTGTGGGATCTAATGAACAACATACACTGATGAACAAAATAGATCCAGAGACAGGAAGCATGGAGGAGACCGTCCAGCCTCGGGAAAGGCGGGGAGAGAGCAACCCCTGGACTGGCCTGCGGCTGAGCAAGACACAGGGGCCGGACAGCAGGGGGCGGGGGCGGGCAGGGACCGGTCAGTGGGGCAAAAGGAGACATATGGAATACTTTAAACAATGAAGAATAAATTAAAAAAAGAAAAGTAGAACCGACTTAACCTCCCAGCAACAGTGGGGAAAAACAACAACAAAAACTTCAACCCCTTGATGTAACTTGCACTGAACATTACTAGGCACGACGTTGGAGATGACAGTGCTGCCTTCAATAAAACCAACCCCATCTGAAAAGAGCCGTTAGCAAAATGCAAATTAAAACGGCAACGAGATAGCACTGCACACCTAACAGACTGGCTACAGTAAAAATAGTGCCCAGCAGGTGTGGCTCAGTGATTGTGTCACCCTATGAACCAGGAGGTCACAGTTCAATTCCCCTCAGGCTGCAGGCTCGATCCCCTGTAGGGGGCATGCAGAAGGCAGCCAGTCAGTGATTCTCTCTCATCATTGACATATATATATAGACAACACCCAACACTGACAGGGATGCAGATATTGAATCATTCATACATTGTGCCAGGAATGTAAAATATTACAACCTCTCTGGAAAACAGATTGGCAGTTTCTTAAAAAATAAAATATGCAATTACCATATGACCCAGTAATTGCACTCCTGGGCATTTATCCCAGAGAAATAAAGATTTATGTTCACACAGACACAAAAATAACTGTTCAAATGTTTATGGTAGCTAAATTCATAATATAGTAGTCCTCCATATCCACGGGTTCACTCTCTGTGGTTTCAGTTACCCATGGTCAGTTGTGGTCCAAAAATGTTAAATGGAAAAATCCCAGAAGTAAACAATTCATAAGTTTTAACATGTCCCTCCATTCTGAGTCTCGGGATGAAATACCACACTGTCCTGCCAGGTCCGTGAATCATCCCCTTGTCCATTGTCTCCACACTCTACACGCACTGCCCACCCGCTAGTCACTGAGCAGCCCTCTCCCTTGTCAGGCTGACTGCCTCAGTGTCGCAGTGCTCATGTCCACGTCACCTTATTTTACTTACAGATGGCCCCACAGCACAAGAATGACGATGCTGGCGATTTGGATACGTCAAAGAGAAGCTGTAAAATGCTTCCTCTAAGTGAGAAGGTGAGTACAGTGCAAGGTATTTTGAGAGACCACATTCATGTAACTTCTATTACATTATATTGTTACAGTTCTCTTTTTATTACTAGTTATTGTTGTTCATCTCTTGCTGCACCTGACTTATAAATTAAACTTTATTGATACATACGTATAGGAAACAACAGCACAATGTACCCTTGAACAACATAGGGGTTAGGGGTGCCAACACCCCTTGCAGTTGAAAATCCACCTATAACTTACCTACCAATAGCCTACTGGTGATGGCTAACCTTACCGATAACATAAACCGTTGGTTAACGCGTATTTTGTATATTATATGTATTATGTAATGTATTCTTACAATAAAGTAAACTAGAGGAAAGAGCATGTTTTTAAGACAGTCATAAAGAAGAGAAAATAAATTTACGGCACTGTATATATTTATTGAAAAAAAAATTCGTGTATCAGTGGACCTGTGCAGTTTGAAGCCATGTTGTTCAAGGGTCAGCTGTATGTATAGGGTTCGCTAGTATCCACCGTTTCAGGCATCCCTTGGGGGTCTTGAAGTGTATTCCTCACAGATAACAGGCACTACTGTAGCCACCATCTGGAAAAAACCCTGGAGTAAACAGAATAATGGCCTCCCAAAGATGTCCGAATTCTAATCCCTGGAACCTGTGAATATATTACCTTACATGGCAAAAGGAATGTGATAAAATAAAAAGTCTTCTGGGTTACACACATATGAATGGCCACAGTGCTTTGTAGTTCCTCCCATCAAGAGATGAAGTTGGGCCCTGGCGAGTGTTGCTCAGTGGTTGAGCATCGTCGACCTAGGAACCAGGAGATCATGGTTTGATTCCCGGTCAGGGCACATGCCCGGGGTTGCGGGCTCAATCCCCAGTGTGGAGCATGCGGGAGGCAGCCAGTCAGTGATTCTCTCTCATCATTGATGTTTCTATCTCTCCCTCTCTCTTCTGAGCAAATGGGCCGCCCTGCACGGCACTGGGCAGGGCACTGGGCAGGCTGTGCGGCAGGCCTTCCCCAGGCCCCCACCAGCCCAGGGTTCTGTGCATATAAGAACTGAGAACTGAAAAGTTAATAGGAAAATTTTAATGTCATCCAAGGATATTATAACTGGTTGCTTCCCAAACCGCAGTGGTTGTTAAATATTCTGAATATCACCTCTGATGATAGCCCCCAGATCCTTTCATTTGCCTAGAGTTTCTCTAGAGGTCCTAACCCATAGAGCCAGCTCCCTCCACGGGGTAAGCTCCACTCCCAGACACCCCGACACCCTCCACTCACGCAGAACTCTTCCTGCCCTTTCCCAAGCCTGCTCTGGTGGCCCCACCACTAACCAGCTCAGCCAGAAACACAGCCTCTCCCTCACCCTCACAGGCAGTCAGTCACCAAGAAGTGAGGATTCATCTAAACACACCTCCTTCACCCGCCCCCTGCCCTGCAGTCCTGCCTGGCCAGGACCTAGAAACTTGGCACAGTGATTCTAACTCCAACCCCCTTCTCTGGCCATAGTTGACACCTCATTGCTCCAGACCTGTAATAGGTTCCCCAAACATGACAAGTCCCCTCAAACCTCTGAGCCATTGTACATGCTGTTCCCTTTCCCTACAATGCTGTTCTCTTTCCAAGAGCTCCAAACACTCATCCTCTAATACCTGGCTCAAATGCCCCCTCCTCAGGGGGGCAGCCTGGTGCAGAGGGCAGACAAATCCCCAGGAAGGTCGGCAAAATCACACGATGGAGACACCTCTCATTGAGGCTCCTCTGAAAACTTAAACTCTCATCGTTATGAAGGGAGGGGTTAAACTCTCATCGTTATGAAGGGAGGGGAGGAACTCCGGAGAGAGAAGGGAAAGAGGGAGGGGGAGGGGAGGAAGACACTGAGTTATGTATGGGCAGGAAAACGCAAAATGCATCATTTGTAGAAGATGCAATTGCCTTCTAAAGCAAATCCAAATGAACCAACTGAGAAATTAATAAAACTATAAGAGAATAAGCTAAGAGGGCTGGGGAAAGATCAGTAGACAAAATCAATAGCTTTCTACTCATCAATAACAAATTAGGTCATATAATAGGAAAAAGATGTTCCATCAGTGATAGCCATCATATACTTACAGACCCCAGGAACTGGCACGGACCCTGCACTGAGTGCCTAGGTTCCCATGACCCTTTGCATCACCCTCCTGCCTCCAGGGCGCCAGCCTCCCTGGCTCCTGCCTCTGGGCCTTTGCACTGGCTGTTCCCTCTGCCCCAGACAGGGTTTATCTCCTCACCTCCTGGGGCTATTCCAGGGTCAGCACTTTTTATGTAAAGGCCACATTTTAAAGACCTTAGGCTGGGTTGGCTATGAGGCAAAATTGAGACTATTATGTAGGAACTTAACATATACCCAGAGAGAAAACGTCCACAAGATGTTTAGTGATGAAATGTGACTTTATAATAAGACTTGATTACTGTTTTGTTTTTCAATAATACAGGTCAACTAAGGCTAAGAACGGGATTCTTTTAGGGGGATAACATCAAAGTTAGTGTTCCCATCATGGAATTGATTGTAAATGCTATTCTGTAAAAACCATTCTCAGCTGAGAGAAGGTGGGCCAGGTCTGATCCATACTCAAATGCCACCTCTCAGTGAGGCTCTCCAGGACACCCTCTCAAAAACAGCCCCTCCCACCTGCCCTCTCGTCCTCCTCTGACTTTCTCTTAGCACTTCTCACAGTCTGACCGCTGTCTTTTACTCGTGTGTACGTTGGCTGCCTTCCTCTCCACTCGCAAACATTATGTGGGCAGGGGTCGGGGTTTGTCTGTCTCGCCACTGCTTATTCCCAGCATCTGGCACGTAGTAGTCACTCAATAATTATCTGTTGAATGAATGTGCCTCACTGGCTCCTGCCTCCGGGATGAATGGATGGATGAATGGATGGATGGATGAATTGTAGTGAAGAGAGACTGTGTTCATACCTGTAAGTGCTTCGAGCATTGCCTGGCACAGGCTGTGCTCAGTTGGTATTTGAGTCTGGCGCCTTAGACCACTCGGCCATCCTGACACCTCTCAATTGGCATTTGATAGATCAGACAGAGGCTGAAAACCAGGACTGCAGGCTTTATTAGAGGAGAAGGACCGGCGGGAGAACAGCAACTCGTGCAGGGTGGGCGCGCCTTTTGAGGGGTGGGATGGGAAGGGGTGGGGGCTTAGTGTACTCGGCGTGCGCTGATTGGTGGATTCATGTATGGTCCATATAGGAACAAGGGCTTAGGGTATTTGGCAGGTGTGGATTGGTGGTTCAGTGTATAGTCCATA